GTGACTTGTGGAAGTTCTGTGTATTGCAAGGTTGTATCGAGAAAGAATAAACTAGTTTTAATTAAGAAAGGATTTGTATCGCTGAAGTTTCTCGGAAAGAATTTCTACATGAAATTAACAAACAAGCAGATACTAACAATATATATATACATGTATATAGACTGGCTTTTCACCAGAGTTATCCACGCCATATAATAAATGTCTTTTACAATCATATACATACTATAGTAAATGCATTTTACAATTATATACATATTATAGAACATGCCATGCAATTAAAGTCATACATATTAGATGAATTGCTTTATATGAAACACTTTGAAACTCACTGTTTGACGAATTACTTGAAATTTACTGTTGAAAGAATATGGGATTGGAAGAATATAAATCTTACCGTAACAGTAATACATATTTTAGTAAATATCCCAGTATTTGCTAGACGCCCTCTTTTTTAGTATATAAGGGCATATGCAGATAGATTGAAGATAGAGATAATTGAGTCCAGCGAACAGTAGGCACCATAAGTAAAGTGTGTGAATCGCTGTGAATTATAGTGTGTGTTTATAAAAGTAGTTATGTTAAAGTGGCTGTGGAAATTCGGTGCATTGAACGAGATATTTTTACTGCTCCCCTTTGTTTACCATATTGAGGTAATCCACTCAGTTGTAATTTACACCTTTCTTCTAATTTTTTCAAGTTTTGTGTAGTACTAGCGAACCCGTGGGCCTATGGCCCACATTTACAGGACCGCTATAATGCAAGTTTAGTTTTTTTTTAACCAAGTTATGAACGGTAATCAGTGGGCCTACTTATTTATGTGTTTTAATGTAAATAAGTGACAAATTTGGGGTCCGGTTTTGGAGAATCCCCGAAAAAGTGTTTTTGCAAAATATCCGGATTCCCGAAGGGGTTGGGAGAAAAGTTTTACCTTAGTGCAAACCTCGAGGCTGAGACTATTAGTATTAGTTGGTGAGTCTAGAAGATTAGAAGAAGGAGTTACGTGACATGCACATACACTGATTCTTACTACATTATTGTATGATTTATTGTAGCTCTCGCGTGGAGAATTTCGGAATTATCAGGCACATCATAGTACTGTATCCAGGATTCTTGAAACACATTTTCTTGAAAGTTCTTGCTTTCATTTCTTTACTTGACTGAACAGGTCTGGTAAATCTTTATACAAAAAATATTTGTGCTAAATATCCAAAATTGAAATTTTATTTTAGAAAATTAATAAAACAAAATTATTTTATCCTTTAAGCACGGCCCGTATATTTTTATTTGTATAAGCTGTATTAGAAAAAAGCCAGCAGATTTATTACATTTGTTTATTACCTTAGATATATGAAACCTTCTATTTAAATTACTTTTTATAGGTATTCCATCTTTAATATTCATATAGTGTTAGAAACTTACATTTTTAATAACTCAGTATGATAATATTATTCAATCTGCAAAGTAGTATTTTATTCAGAATTTCACAATAAACGTACATCCATATTATAATAACTGGATTTCTTCTTCTCAAGTTCTTGTACCATGGCTGTAGCATGCTTCTTTCTTATATCTTTCATCACACTTGTACTACTGTAAAATAGAAAGCAATTACTTCAAAACAAAAACAAGAGAACAGAAAATATACATATAATAATTTTTGGAAATCTATAAGTTGCAATAACTTTACAAACAGACATATCGTGATTATATCAAGTTCCCTTTGTTACGTATCTGCGTGTTTGTTAATTTCCTGTAGAAATTATTTCCGAGGAACTTCAGCGATACAAGTTCTTTCTTGATTAAACTAATTTATTCTTTTTCGATACAAACTTTTAGCACACAGTAATTTCACAATCAGTACGTTTCTCGTCACTTTAAACTTAACTATTTTTATAATACACGCTATAAATCACTGCGATTCACAATCTCGAAAACACACGCTAGCTCGAAACAGAATAATAAATTACCTGGAACTCTCTTCATTATATCCCGCAGGCTTTCTCTGCCAGGCTTATATACTAAAACAGAGGGCGTCTCGAAAAAACTCAGGCATACCCGATAATTCATGATCATTCGAGAAATTTCGTGCACGATACCAGCGGCAAACATTCCAGCTGCGTCACGTGACTTCCGCTATCGTAACACCTTGAATGATTACAAACTCTTTTAATACGGGAGTTCCACATTTTATTTCATTAACAAATGTGTCAAACTTAAATTGTGAAGATTGAACAAACCATTCTTTAGGTTGATGATCATTTTCACTATCTGTTTCTGATTCACCTAGATAGTAAAAGCACTTTTTCTTTCTCCTTCTGTATTTGCAGTTACTTCCTCTGGGATCTAAACATCCATCCACGTGTTTGCCAAGTGCAGCGACCCGTAAAGGGGAGGAGAGGATCCTGGTAGTAGAGTGGTATCTGGGGCACTGCAACACATCACTTCAGCCTTGAATTCCTGTAGACGGGTGGCCTTGGGGTGGCCCCCCAGGGTCAATTGGCTGGTCTACTGGGGCTAGGATCAACTGAGTACCAGTGTTGGGCATTATCAACGGGTGTTGTGGACATCGTGTCTGATGCTGGTGTTTGGGTATAGTGCTCACAAAACCCTGGCATTTCTGCAGTGGCCTTATTTGACATTGTAGGACTCTATGGCGAGTGGGGTCAGTGGGCACTGAATCTTTTTCCTTATTATGGAACCCCTAATCCAAATAAAAAATTTTAAAACTCTGCTAATCGGTAAACGACTATGCCTA